TAATAATAATAATAATATATTTTTAATTTATAATTTGCCTTGTGCATAAACTAACTAACGATTTAATTACTTGATGCCAGGTTGTTAGCTTGTTTGTGAAATAACTTTTTGTTAAGTTCTAGTGTTCGCATAGCAGCTCTTCCCACAGGCCTCCCCGGATTTCTTATAGCACTTAGTAGGAAGAACTTGTTTTTATCGAGAACTTCTTGGCGTTTCGGCAAATTGTGTTAATTTGGTACATTTTTTTTCACTCTATTTACCAACTTTGGGCGGCCTGTTACGTCACAGTCATACCAAGAGACCACTTCCGATTTGCCTTTTGCCTCTGTGTCAAAACGAGTCTCCGTGCGAAACAATTCATATGAAAATGTGTTCCCCCTACAGGTTAATTTTCATGCCAAAGAAACGCAGTTTCATACGACAGGTTTTGCACGAAGACTCGTTTTGAAACAGAGGCACAAGCGAAACTCGGAAATCGCCCATTTACAGCCCTACCAATTTAGAGTTCTCGCTTTTCTCCAAACTCAAACTATCAAATCTCCTTACTACTTATCGATATGGAGTGTGAATATCACTATTGATCGCACTGAGACGAAGCAGCTTAGAATTAGAGGCTTTAAAAATGACGTTTACGACAAACGGGAACTGAATTGCCTCTCATCTTTTTTTGGCATCCACTTATCCTTAATTCAATCCAACACAAAAATACAAAAAAGTTCTCCTATTCACAGAAAATATTCTCATTAAAGTCAGGAGCCAACAATGCGTTTCTCAAACGGCTAAACAGGAACAGCAAAAAGTTTCATTTTTGCCATAAACGTCATTCTTAACTTCTCTATTGAGACAATTCTGGTGATGCTTTGCCTAACCCGATGAATTGTATGCTCTTCTCTATTTATAACATAAGATTTGTATTTCTCTTTTCTTTATAGGAAGTTTCTAGAGTTCGTAATGTTAATTGGGACGATGAGGCCCCACCCCTCCCTCCCAAGTCTCCTAGATCTCCTAAGGTGAAGGAAGAAACCTTACCACCACCTCTCCCTGCACGAAACTACCAGGTAAGTAACAAAGGCCAGTATCATGCTCCCTGATTACATTTCCTGAGGGAACGTCTCCTGACAAACAGAGTATTAGCAAAACCTAATTGATAGCAAGAATGCTACTGCGGCAAAAGGGCAATGCCCTTACAATGACGTCCGGTACATTTATTGAGCAAGCTAGAGATCCGACATCAGACAAGCCAAGCAGCTTAATGCGTGGTCCTCTGCCCCCGCCCCCCGGGCCGGGGGTTACTCCCAGAAAAATTGGATGGGGGTGTGCGGCTCGCTTCCCAAAGCCTTTACCCTATCTGCGATATTCCCCACCCTATTTATGACCTGACCAAAAATTCAAAACCCTATTTGTGACCTGGCCCTTAAATCAAAACCCTGTTTCAGACCTGTGTTACAATAGGGAGTTTAAGCAAATCGCTACGGCTGGCGCTGATACGGCTGCCGGAAGTAAATTTCC